GGGGGGGCGGCATATAAGTTTTAATAAATTGAGCTGGAATTCAAAAATCCTCCTTTCTCTACAGCCACCAGAAAGATAGCTGTCTCAATTCCCACCCCCACTTGCCCTCCTCCTCTTCCTCCTCCTCATTGTTGCTTTTTTTTAAACTGTATTATTTTGGGTCTTTTTGCAAGTTGGCCTCCCCGTCCGCACCCACCGTTGCCGCCCGCTCAGCGCCAGCGGGGCGACTCCGGCAGGGCTGGGGCTAGCGTTTGCCTGCCCGCCTGCCTGCTTTTTTTTGCAGGGCTGCTGGGAGTTGTGAAGGCGTGTGAGAATCCTGGGAGCTGGTGATGTCAGACCGCTTGGGTCATTTGAAGGTTAGCAGCCTGGGAAGGGTTCACGGAAAGTTCACTCGCATATATTAGGCAATTCAATCTTTCATTCCCTGTGACACAAGTAGTAGGAAGTGAGCTGTTCAGAGGCAGAAGGATCTATTCACGGCCGAGGGGGATCCCGAGTCCCTACCGGAGCCGTTTTATCCCGGGGAGGCGGGCGATCGGCACGGCGTGGGACGCGGCACGCACCCGGCGAGCGCCCGAGGAGGGGGACTGACTCTAAAGAAATTTGGGGGGAAATTGATGGGAGTTAAAACTTGGAATGCGGCTCGCTTCCCCCCATCTTGCTGGATTGGCTGGGCAGCCTGGAAAATGGTAAATGATCATTTGGATCAATTACAGGCTTTTAGCTGTGTTGTCTGTCATAATTCATGATTCTGGTCTGGGAAAAAGACCAACAGCCTACGTGCCAAAAAAGGGGCAGAGTTTGATGGAGTTGGGTGTACTTTTATGTGCCATTTTCCTCCACACCTAGAGGAAAGCACTTTTGCAGGCATTCTGTGCAGGGGGAATCATGTTTGACTGTATGGATGTTCTAGCAGTGAGCCCTGCTCAGATGCTGGATTTCTACACTGCGAGTCCGTCTTCCTGCATGCTCCAGGAGAAGGCTCTCAAAGCATGCTTCAGTGGATTGGCACAAACAGAGTGGCAACACCGGCACAGTGCTCAATGTAGGTCCCAACTGTTCTTTTTCCACTTTAAAGCTGTTATGATTATGATTATTACTATTTTATTATTTGCATGTATTTAAAAAAAGAAATAGTTGTAATTAAGCGCAAGGGTAGTGAGGGGTGGGGGGAGTTTTTTTGTGCAAAATGTGGTTTTGCAAGCCTTTTTTTTTTTTTTCTTCTGTCAAGAAAGGAAAAAGGAGAGAAGCACCAGGCTGCTTTCTGTTTATCCCATCTCATGTAGCATATTGATCCTAACAATAGTTGTGGAGCCAAGCAGGAACACATAAAATTATAATATAATATGGCAAATACTTGCAAAACTCCAACCAGTGAAGGGCAAATTTACATAACATCTCTATGGTAGTTTTTTGCTTTGCCTCCTTAATCTAATTTTGTGCCACATTTGGTAATCTGGATACATGTTGTCTCGAAGTGCATTTTAGCAGAGCAGCCAAGCAATTAAAATGCTGCTCCATACAGTTCTTGCAAAGATGTGGAATTGCAGTGGGTAGGTGCCATTCCAAAAATCCAACAGTAGTTTTAAGTTTCCTAAGAAAAGGCAATATTTCTTTGTACTGACCTTGCTGCCACCTTTCTTCTTCACTTTGTTGCTCTAAGAAGTTGCTGTTTTGCTAGAAAACTACTTACTGTGAACACCCTTTGAGTTTAACCATCAATTATTTCTATACCTTATGATTCAGGCAGTGTGGCAGTGGTAACAGAAGAGGGAGAGTTAGTGGTAGGACACTTCTGAAAATGTATTATTACGTTATAGGGTTGTGATTTGTTGCTGAAATACATAGATGCTAAACAACGGCAGTATTTTAACACCACAGTCTCAAGTTTGAGAAATGACAAAAAGTGCCAGAAAGCAGCACCTTATACTCTGCATAAAAGCTTGCAGGATGCTTCACTGCTCTGACGGTGATTTAGATAAATGACTTGGCTATCTATCAAAATGTTTTTAGCATGCTCTCGGTCACTTCAGTACACCATTAACCGTATAATACGGTTTGAAATTTTTGGTTTATGGTGTGTTATAAAGTTACCTAGGAATTAGAATAGTTCTCCCTTTGATACGATTTATCTCACACGGGTGGAGGGGGGAACTGAATAACAATTTTTAAAATGTTTGATGAAATAGTGTGTTTTTCACTCTGCTCAAAAGTTTTCAGTCACCATATGACGTTTGTGTGGGTTGAGTAATGAAAACAAAATTGTAAAAATCAGTGACTACCAGCCTGCGACACTGCAAATGTTTTGATGTCTTTACAATTAAAATTAGACTGTGAAGTTCATCATGGGATGTTTATTTTCTCCGCGCTGTTTTCAAAATGCTTCAAACAATAAATGAAACAAAGCTTTTACTTCAAAATAATATTACTAGCTATCAGTTAGGGAAAACAAAAAACCCAAAGCAGATGTTTTACTAAAAATCTGTTTTCCTTCTTCCATGGTTTAAACTTTAGTGTAACTTCAGCGGTGGTATTGCGGAAACTTGGAATTAAATAAACTTTCCTGGAGTAGGACGCATATGCTGTCGTTAAAAGCTTACATTCACAAAATATTCTTTAGATAACTTCTGGTGTAAAAATGCCCTGCTCATTTTCTTGTATGTTGTTAATACCTAGAAGCAAGATTTTTAAAAACAAAATATATGGTGTTTGTTCTTGGGCAAGTTAAACATAGGATTACCCTTATCAGAATGGAATGAGTGGTAAATATGTAATTTGCCTAGGGCCTGTGATAAGAGACAAGTGTTGATAACAGCAAAGTTTAGCTAATCAAAGAAACTCATATTAACAAGAGTAAATAAAAAATCCAGGAAAATGCATTCAGGAATCCAGTCTCGTAACTTTGTAAGCAATGGGATTAATCTTCACTGCATGGGAATTTAAAATCAGGATGAAACCTGAATCATAATACGGTGGCTGTAATTTGAACTGTGAAAGTTAATGGTATAGAAATGTGAAAAAGCAATTTAGTTAGGGTCCAAATGAAGAATTCTGTTTGATTTCTAGAGCAAGTTTTGTTTTAAATTTTGAAGAAAGTATAAGCACTTTATGTGTATGGGTAAATATATGTAAACGGATTATAAAATACTAAAATTCTCTCAACATCTAAGAATTTACCTTGCATCTCATGAAAATAATGACAAAACCAGAATTTTTGTGGTCCAGAAAGCTTTTAATGATTTAAAGGTTGCTTTAGTGCTTATAAATACAAAGATAGCAATGTTTAATTCTAACTCAAGTGTTTCTTGATTTTCTGTTTTTATGAAGACCTCTGTGATTTAATGGAATGTAATCATAACCAAATTTTGAAATTATTAGACATGTAATAGATAGGGTTTTTGTCTAGTTTGTTGTTTTATTTTTGGCTCTGCCATAAAAGCAGTACACCTGCAGCCATTGCTTTAGGCCTTAGAAATATTGCTTTGATGGAGACGTGATTGTAGAGTAAAAGGTAAATGGTTGTTGAGGGAATAATACATGGATAGTGCAAACTCTGAACAGGCCAGTAACAATCCCAAACAGCATCAGAGTTTCAACTGAAATGCTAACAAAATTGGCCATTGCAGGGGTTAGGGCAGAATGCTGTAGGTCTCCAACTTCAGCACATCTTCACTATGTTAATCCCGTTACGATTCACTAAGCAAGCGCACTCCTGCAGCATCACAAATTTTCTAGTCCATGAGGGTCTGCAAAGTAAAAATAGAGAGTAAGGCACAACCCAAACATGACCTTAACTTGTGTGGTATTTTTTTCCTCCCCCCTGTGGGAGGAAAAACCTGCTATGGGTTTGCAATGCAAAGGTTAGCCACTGTGTATTGCAAGATGTGTTATGAGCACACAGAAAAATACCTAATTTCATGCTCATACTTGTTTATGTTTTATGTGATATTGGTTATATTGTTGTAGGCTTAAAAATAAATTATTTATTTGCAAGGAAAATTACGGACTCAGAAATGTGAGTAGAACCAGCTGCACTTTTAATCATGAGCCATTCTCAGTCCTTTGCTCATAAGGTAAAAATCAGATCAGTATGATCAAGTTAGACAAGAATAGTTCTTAAGAGGACAAAAGAGTTAAGATTGCAAGAATGAGTAATTTATACTTTTTAAAGTAAGGTAGAATTTTCTGCTCACTCATAGTGCAGCGACACCAAATACTGAGAGAAAATGAGTAACTTCTGTTGAAATGTGAGCAAACTAAATACTGCGGAAGTGGAAACAGGACAGGCCCTGAGAGAGGAGCTGCAAGGAATGGCAGATTGGCCTTGGAAAAGCCTATTAGAAAAGTCTTCGTTCGTCTTCATTAATTAAACAGGCAAAAAACCAAGTGAGCAGGCCCAAACAAACAAACAAACAAAAAGAGTAAGTTTGTTTGGCAGTATGTAGTGTTTCAGCTAATTATGTCAAGTATAAGACTATTGCCTACCATCTTTTGTTAGGCTTAGAAGAGTAAGAAATTTGATGAAGGCAAAAGTTATGGTTATGGCAGCAGACATAATAGGATGTCGAGGCTCATGTAGTCTACAGTTCTTATTTCAGTTTGGTGGGAAGTGTGTTTGCCCAGAGAGGATCTAGCAGGTATTAACTTTCAGAAAGTCTGTGAAGATGGGACTCCAGAAGGCATGCGTTTTCCTTCTGAATTCCAGATTATTGCAATGTTTGGGTCAGGTTCTCCTTCCCTGCAAGCACTGGAAACATCTGTCCTCAACAGAAAAAAGTTCGGTACTTTATTTTCTTTCATCTTTCTGAATTTAAAAACAAACATTTTGAAGTGAAGGACTTGTAATCTGCATTCCCAAGTATCAAATTGCTGCAGGTGTGTTTGCTAGTGCCCAGAAGGCAAGATGTGTTTGAACCAGGTTATTTTCTTTAAAGTTCATCTATAAACTTTACAGCTAAATCACTCGGTCTGATTTGCTTAGGGATAGTCTTTGTTTAAATTTTTATACTTGTAGCTTAATGGCCTGAAATATGTGGTGAGATGTGTTTGATTCTGATCCCCTTCATTCAAAACAAAAATTGCACAGGAATATTTTTCTTCCAAATTAATTGAAACGAGAATGACTGTTCTCTACGTAGAGTCTGATACAGTCAGCCTGATTCAGCTGCTGGCACAGGAGAACTAATGGACACACACCACTGTCAGAAACTCCTGCAGACAAAAATGATGAGAGGCGTTCGCTGGTGAAATTAGGGTGGGATAAACCTGGAGGAAAAGCAATGTATCTTTGGGTGACTCCCTGCTTGCCTAATGAGTCTGTGCAGCAAAGGTGCAACTTGTCAGAACAAAGCCAGGCTGTCGCGACAGTGCCTAGAAGAGGGTTTCGGCGAAGTTAAGGAGTTGAAAGAGAGAGATAATGTTTCAAACAACGAAGTTAGTCATCCTCACATCCAGTTAAATCCCCACTTAGTGCTGAGCCGTCTTGGTTAAACATGTGTGCATCACGCCTGCACCGCAGCCAAGGGGCTTTGCTCGGGGGTGTGCGGGGAGCGAGGCGCCCCAGTCGGCAGATTATGCTTCCACCTCCCCTAAACACCCCAAGTGACTGGTTTTGCTCAGGTCTAATTTATACACGGCCCTTTACGCAGCTGATGAAGTGCGGCTGTGTTACACAGCCAGCATTTCGATTTGGGAGCGGGGTTGTGAAAGGGACATTGTGCTCCGAAGGACTGCTGTCTGCTGCAGTCGGCCACGCCGTGCCCCGTCCTATTGAAGGCTCAAAAGCAGAGCACAGCTGCGATGAGTTTCCAGATCTGTTTGGCCGTGGGGACTGGTGCTGGTATGCGTGCGAGCTGGGGGGAGCATCACTCTCCCCCTTGCAGTTTCTGCCTAGGGGGCTGGCAGCAGCCTCCAACAACGAATTTACCGGGGCGGGTGGCTGGGGCCAAATTAGCTGTGGTTTCGGAGGGCTTTCCAGAAGCTTTGCTAGGCTGTAGCGCACAGCCCCATGAGGAAGGATATCAGTTGATGTATAAAATGGCCAAG